ATAAACTCACTACATAGAAGTGACATCAGTGAATACCAAATTTAAATAATCCACTAATCTGCATCTTTTCCCCTCCATCAATACACAGGACTTACCCTCAGCTCCTGTTCACAGCCCCCCCCTCGTCAGTACCACTATGTTTCCACACCAAAAAACTGGACCGAAGCCCGACAGTTCTGCAGAGAGAAATACACCGACCTGGCCACCTTTGACAGCATGGAAGACCTCAGCAGGCTGAAAGCTGATTTCTCTTATTCCTGGGCCTGGATCGGACTCTGGGATGACCCTGAAAACTGGAGAACCTCCATGGGTAATGACACCAACTCTTGGAGGTGGTCAGCAACAGGAGAAACCAGCAGAACCGGGTACCAGAACTGGCGACCTGGACGACTATATTATGCCTATCAAAATAAAACATGTGTAGTGATGTATTATGATGGAACATGGGTTGATGTGAGCTGTGAAGGGACCAGAAAATTCATCTGCTACAACGGTAATATGACACTTTATCAATTTAAAAAAATGAAAAGCAATAAAGAGCTTGTGAGCCATTTTATGTTTCTTATGTTTGATCCAAACCTAAAGCATGAAAAATTAGGTTCTGTTTCAGGTTTTGTGTCTGACAGAAAAATGTAATCACTCCCTTTTTGCTTTCTTGCTGAAGTGGTTTCTCTCCAGATATGAGCAGCCAGTGAGGAGTTTAAAAACTTAAAGCTCAGATGAATAAGTTTTACCAGCTAATAGATTTAAGTTAGTGTGCTCATTTAGGGAGACATGTAGCTTTTTAATTCAGCTAAACGGGATCCAAGTTGTGAGAATCTGTTGTTAATATCTGAGAGGAATAGCTGAACTCACTGTGGGTTATTTTCTGCTGCAGTTTCAGAGAACAACAAGAAAAACTATTTCTACATCCCAACCGAGAAAACATGGCAGTCTGCTCAGCAGTACTGCAGGGAACACTTCACCGACTTGGCCATGATTGAGAATGAGGCAGAAAACACTAAGGTCAACAAAGGAATCCCAAGCCGGTATTGGTATTGGATCGGTCTGTACAGGAACCCCTGGACTTGGTCTGACCGGAGCCAAAGCTCCTTCAGGAACAGGCAGCCCACCTACTATAATGGTCACCAACACTGTGTTAGTGAAAATACAGACCACGAGTGGATTCCAAATGATTGTGGATCTAAGTTTCCCTTCATCTGCCATCAAGGTGACTAC